TCACTGCAGAAGTTTGTCAGAGAAGCCATTCACCACAGGGCAGCCAGGAACCAAAGAGAGACAGAAAGGGGCAAGGGTGCCAACATCCCCTCCACGGCCCCACCCCAATAACCTAACATCCTCCCATCAGGCCCCGTCCCAAGGCACCCCCACCTCCCAGCACCACCCCAGGCTTCAGGGGGCCCTCCATGGGCCTTAATTTGGAAGAAAGACATTTGTAAAAGAAATTCACAAGAGGACCATCGTAAGAATTATAATTTTGTTTTTATTTTTATTCGTGGTTTTTTTGTTTGTTTTTTGGTACCAGGAATCGAAGAATTACAATTTTCTAAGTGACTGGCTTTCAAAATAACAAAAGGACCAAACAAGAGGAGAAAATCAGGTATTCTTGTTTTTGTTTGTTTTTGCTTGGGTATGCAGAGCTTGGTTAATCCTACTTGAATTTCAATTAAAGGTGAGAAATCATTGACATTTTCTGCAATGTTTCCAATCACTTCCAATCCACTTGGTTAAGGGAGCCACACAGATGCTCTGGGGGGCCCCCGAGTGAAGGGAGCCTAGAAGGAAATTCCCCTCAAGGTACCTGAAGTGGGAGCCTGCACTCAAATCCCCACAGGGCAGTCACACGTGTGCCCAGAAGTGGACACAAATGCAGTCTCCAGAGGACTGGGTGGACCCAAGCCTCCCCTGTACCCCTTCCTGCATGTGGGTCTCTCAGGCTGCTAGCAGAAGAAGATGTTTGGGGTTTTTGTGACTTTTTGTTTTTTTTTCCTTTGGGTTTTTTGCAGCAAGTTCTCCCTATGCAGTTTGGGCTGGCCTTGAGCTCACTTTGTAGCCCAGGGCGGTCTTGAATGCACAATGATCCTCCTGCCTCAGCCTCCCCAGTGCTGAGATTACAGGCCTGTGCCACCATGCCTGGCTTTTACTCATTGCATTCTAGAACAAGTAACAGTGCCTCCCTCTGCCTGCTGGAACAGTGCCCACACCAAGTAAATGAACAGTTCACCAGGCATCAACTAAGTAAAAATCATTACCTACGGCCCAAGCCAGTAGGGAGCCGCAGAGAGCGGCAGGTCTGTCTCTGGACAAAGAACTCCGCTGGGAAATCCTGCGATCCAAGACCAGGAAAGCAAACACACACACACACACACACACACACACACACACACACAGGCAAGGATGAGTACCTTCCTTATTTAATAAAATCTGAAAGCTTTACAAATACCGCCTCAGTAATTTGCCCCTTGTCTAACGTCCCTAAGGTCTGCAAAACAGGAAGACATAAGTCTTGCTTTTGGTTTTCTTTTCTTTTCTATTTTTACAGTGTCAGGATTAAATTCAGGGTCTCAAACATGCCAGGCAAGTGCTCCGCTGCCGAGCCACACCCCAGCCTGAGAAGGTAGGATTCCTCCTAACAGCTGACACAGATCTGGTGATCTCCCTCTGTGCTTCCTCTACACAATCACCTGGCCAACAAGCCCAGGGTTGTTTAAGCATCTTCACCTGCACCCACAGCTATGTGGCTGTCATAGAAAATTATGTCCACCTTTAAAAACCCAAAACAGCGGCGTGATTACTAATCCCACATTCTGACAGACAACTGGGCTAGCTAACCGCCACCTCCACAGGGGCTGTGTAACTTAGGCTCTCTTCCCCCAAAAGCTACCGAGGAAGGAATAGTCTTCCAGCTTCTGGAATTTCTCCCCACTCAGACCTGAATTCAAAAGAAATCATGCTCAAAGGATATCAGTAAATTAGGGGCAGCCATTTGGGGTCAAACTCATTTTTAAGTGACACATTTAGACACATTAATAATTAAGTTTGTGGGGGCTGGGGATATAGCTCAGCAGCACAGTGCCTGCCTGGCAAGCACAAAGTTGTGAGTTCAATCCCTGGTACCAAAAAAAAAAAATTCTTTCAAGCAAAATAACTCTAGAAGTAAAATGAAAAAATTTAGGCCATGCCACAAAATTAAAAAAGTAAGAGTCCATACCTAAAAGCCTGCAGTCTAGGTGGGTAATACATCTACAGAAACATAAATGCAAACGTAATGTATTAATACAGAGCAAAGCAAAATTTAAAACACATACAAACACTAGTTGGGAAGTGTAATTTCAGAACAAACTGGACTCCAAGGTCAACAGTATGCATAAATTATACCTCTTATTACGGGACTGAAGTTAGGTTACAGTTTTGCGTCTGGCCCATTCTCCGGACTCCGTTTCTGCTCTCCATTCTCTGCCCTCTGTTCTTGTTTCTGCGCAGCCGAGTGGAATTCCTGGGTTTGGGGGAGGCTGCTTGGAAGGTGTAAGAGTCAGCAGCTCAAGCTCCCGGCTCGTGTGCAGGGCAGAAAGCCAGTGGCCGGGCATCGTTACACGGGCAGCAGGGATGCTCGGAGAATAGAAAAATCCTCCCTCTGCCAGCTCCTGCTGAGCGGCCTTCAAGAAGCCACCTAGTATCCCATTCCTTGGCTTGATTGTTTGTAGAAGGGGTTAAAAGGGCACCTCCAGGGCTCCCCACAAAGGTTCCAAATATTCACAACATGCTGGGCCCAGGACCCAGAAAGTAGCGAGACAAGCCCGTCCCATGCCCCCTTAGGACACAGGTTTCCATTGTCAAGAAATGGCATAGTGGATGGTGGACCCTCTCGTCCAGCCAAAGTGACCACATCCTGCCCCCTCTGGGGGCTAACGATCACCTTCTGCAAGTCCCTCACAACCCCGTTACTTAGAATCCCAAGCTGTTCTCAGGGGTATGGGGGGAAGGGAAGCACCCCTTCACACAGCTGTAACGATCTCACCAGGGCTCGTCCTTTCTGTCCCTGGGAAAATGATTTTTAAAAAGGGCCACAGCAGTCCAAGGTGTCCCTCATGGGGGTCTGGCGTGGGCTTCAGCTGTGGTCCCTCTGCCTCTGTCCCCAGCTCCCCCTGGACACTGTAGCTTACTCGTGAAGGAAGACGCTGGCTGCAGGGAGGCTGGGTGCCAGGCAGTGACAGGGAGGGACCCAGCCTGCATGCCACCCCAGGACGGATACAAGTGCTGATGGCTGTGACGGGACCTGGCAGAACAAAGGCCAGCGCTAAGTGTTCTGAGCAGCCAGGACTCCGGGGACAGTGGGTAGCCAGGGCTTGGACCCGCCCTCAGCCTTGGGCACTCGCATGCTGGCACTGGGCACAGATACCTGGGCACATGTCTCTGGGTGTGTGTGCATGTCTGCGTGTGTGTGTGTGTGTGTGTGTGTGTGTGTGTGTGTGTGTGTATCTTTAGTTAAACCATCACAGCTGCCTCCATGTCCTGACCTCACTCACAGCCTTTCCCTCACCTGGTCATTTTGACTTTAAGAACCAGGATTCACAGGGCGCCAGATCCGATAAGCAAGGGGCTGGGGGACACAGCCCCGTGTAATTATGAGCTGCCTTTCCTTCGGGTGGTGCTCGGCAGCCACCTTCAGGGTCATTTTTGTCCCATCTCATGGAGACTCTCTGGAAACAGGACTTCAGGATCGCTTCAGAAATCGTGAGAACGGTGGGAGAAGTGGTTTGGAACAAAGGGGGCCTTTGGAAAGGATCAGGGCGATGTGTCACTAACTGTGGCAATTTCTTCTAACTCAAATATTTTAATACTAAATTTATTGAGACATCATGAAATTAATATGAGTTACCTCTGAATTCTACAATTGCAAAAGGAGCTCAAAGTGGGGGCCATGAGCTTCCAGAGACTTATTAGTATGGTGAGCTGCTGAAGGATGTATACATCTCTTGGCAAAAGAGAGAGGGAGACAGAGATAGAGACAGAGACAGACAGAGACAGGTATATAATGCCGTTTTTAAAAATCAAGAATAGATTATTTTACTATGAAGAAATGTGGAGGCTTGGATCACCATCTCAAAGAAAACATGTAAAAGAAAAACTCTTTCCCATGCAGTCAAAACGCCCACAGTTGCAGTTTCTAAGAAAACCCCCTCCCCTAAGGCCTTTCCGGGTGCCCGAACACCTCTCCAAAAGCAGGCTTCCCTCAGGGCACTGCGATTCCCACCTGCATGTTCTCTGGACACCACCTGCGTCCAGTGGCCATATTCAACCTTAAAGATAAACAAGACAGTGAAGGACAGAGTGTCAGCTGAGTGGCTCGGGGATCCAGGAATTGGGCGTCTCCATTATTAACTCCCGATAATAATTTCCTGTGTTTCCTGATGATAACAGCAAGACAACAGGATGCTTTTACACAACCCCCACCCACCCAGTTGGCACAATTGTTGAGCAACTGTTGGAAAGCTTTTGAAGGGCTAACCCGAGAGCTGGATGGAAGTCAGTCAGTGGACCATCAGAAGAGACCCTGATTTCACAGAGTTTACTGGGGAGGCCAGTTCTTAGGCACAGGAAAAATCACTTAAACAGCTGCCACACTCTGCTCAAAAGCACACTCCACAGGCCTTCCTTTGGGAATCAGAAAAGAGAACTCACGACAAGCTTTTTTCTTTTAGTCTGGAAAATTCCAATTCTAGTTTCAGCCTGGCAAGTGCACTGACACCCCCTCCCCACTCCACCAACCCCTCCAAGGCGGTATTTCACCGAAAGCTGCCCTGGATTGTGACTGATGGTGTAGCCTGGGTGCCCAAAGGAAGCAGCCAGGCAGGTGGATGGAGCCTAGGTTTCAGGAGGAGACCGGCCGGTCCATTCTCCACCCCCTTACTCTGTGTGACCCGGGCCAGCACCAAGCATGCAGGCAGTAGAATCCCTCCACAAAGAAAGATCCCTTATGACAGCCTAACTCCACTCCACCCCGCTTCTCTTTTGTGCAACAGACATCTCAGGGAAATGACTGCTTGGTTACTTCTGAATCAGTGAATTTTCACTCCACATAAATCTCTGACTTGCTGAGATGGCCCAGAGGGGCAGGGAGACACCCAATTTCCAACGAGAGGTGAACTTTCCAATGGTGACGCCCGTCTCCCAGGCTATAAGAGGTCACCCCCCAACTGCCTGGCACTGCCTCCCCTCTCCAGGGACACCATGTCACTCTCAGGACCTGGCTCTGCACTGTCCTGGCGCCTGTCTGCACAGAGCGGGGCGGCGGGCAGGGCCAGGGGCCTGTCTGCCTCCAGCCTCGCGGGTGGCTCTGGGGGCAGCGCCCTGGGCCTTGGAGCTGGTGGTGCTGGGGGCTTTTCTGCAGCTTCCATGTTTGGGTCCAGCTCTGGCTTTGGTGGTGGCTTTGTATGTGCCCCGGGCACTGGTCACGGGGGAGCCTTGGGAAGCAGCTTCGGAGGGCTGGGGATGGCCTTCGGGGGCAGCCTGGGAGCTGGCTCTGCAGGCATTCTCTGCAGCAGCGACGGAGGCCTGGTTTCTGGGTCAGAAAAAGCCACCATGCAGAATCTGAATGACAGACTGGCGTCCTACCTGGAGAAGGTCCGAGCACTGGAGGAGGCAAACGGCGAGCTGGAACAGAAAATACGAGACTGGTATGAAAGACGGGTTAGCGGGGACCCTGCGTCCCAGTATGATTACAGTAAATACGACCCGCTGATCGAAGAGCTCAGGAACAAGGTGAGAAGGGGAACTCCTTCCCTGGTTACTCTTACCAGGCTTTAATCGCTCGCGACTTAGAGACTTTCCAGCTAGACTGTGCTTGGAGGGACTTCTCACCTCACCAAGTTTAGCTCCACTTGCTGCATACCCTAAAGGGCCCATGTTTCTGATGTCCTCCTGAGGGAAATGTGTGTTTCTTAACCTTGTGACCATATTTTGCAAACATGTTTTCTTTTTTAAAAAAATGCAGCTGCCTTAAACGCTTAAGCCAACAGCATTTGAAAGCCATCTTTGACCTTACTACCAAAATAAGCCTTGGAATCCCCCAGTATCTTAGGGCTCCAGCTGCAGGTCGCTCTCTCTTGCCAGATCATTTCCGCCAGCATCGGAAACGCCCAGCTCGTCCTGCAGATCGACAATGCCAGGCTGGCGGCCGAGGACTTCCGGATGAAGTGAGTAACGCAAACGCTTCACAGCTGCTAACGTTCCCGTTCTCCACGCTGCTCTCGTTTTGCTAAATTCACGTATATCATCCTAGAAAGCAATTAGAAGCCAGGACAGTTGAGAATCCACACCCTTAAATGATAAGGTTCTCTAATGCATAATGTCCAGGGTTCCCAGCCACCGGGCTTTACCGCGTGCTGTTAACTCGGGGTGCAGGGCGATTAGCTCCACAATGTCCTGAACCCGAATTTCCACTGCCTTGAGATGAATTAATAATGCTTTTGCTGAGGAGTTCAATAAAAAATCATCTTTCCCGGTCCACCACAACTGGGAGATTAACCAGTCAGTCTTTGATTTTTGTTCTCCTGCCTCCTTTCCTGCACCCGGCCCTCCCCAGCAGCAGAAACAAAGCTCATTTCCTTCTCTGATTTCCTTTTTCCTCAATTGTGGGGGCAAAATTCCCACACGGGGAAACAAAGGCCATGCCCTGCTCCTGGGGAACCTTGGTAACGTCCACTGACACAGGGCTCTAATGAGGTAAATCGGATCCTGAAGAATTAGGCAAGAAGAGAAACTGGTTTTGGCTGCTTTTAGGGCGCTAGTTGGAACCTCGCCTGGAGAGAGAGGGCTGCTGTTCACAGCCACAGCAGCCTTGGGGTGCTTCGCCTCGGGGTTCATACTGGCAGAGAAGTTACCACGGCCTTTCACGTGCCTCCTCCCCAACTGAGCAGAAGATGTTGATACTTTAAAAAAGGAAAGGAAAATTCATAAAAGCAAAGCATCACACACGGCAGTTGTGCTGTGTAGACAGCTGCACGTATTTGGACATGGAGCAGGGTGCTGGCTGGCTGGGGGTGAGGGTCCCCTAAGCTGTCTGCTCGTGGCTTTCAGGTACGAGAGTGAGCTGGCCTTGCGCCAGATGGTAGAGGCGGACATCAACGGGCTGCGCAGGGTGCTGGACGAGCTGACCCTGGCCAGGGCCGACCTGGAGGCACAGATCGAGAGTCTGCAGGAGGAGCTGGCCTACCTGAAGAAGAACCATGAAGAGGTGAGCGGCTGCACCCTGAAACTCCTGGACCCCAATATTACAATTTCAAACTTGCAAATTTGGAGTCCAAGTGCAGAGGACACAGTAGCTCCCCACTAAAATGCTCATTTAGTTCCAGTCTCTCTCCCCCCCTCCCCTCCCCCACTCCCTCCTCCCCTCCCCCACTTTCCTCCTCCCCTCCCCCACGCTCGCTGTCTGGTGCAGGTGGTTCCCACTAAGTTTTAATGAATTCGTACACTTTCTGATTTTGTCATTCTTAATTATTAGATAGTGATAGTAAGAATTTTAATCTTATCAGTTTAGTGGCTTTTACACATATACACAGTAGTGCAAAAGTTCAAAAACAAAACTCTACCAACACTGTACTACTAGGGAAGGGAAACTGCTTGGTACCCAGCAAAACATACACTCCCACAGGCCCCAAGGGCACACTGGCAACCCAGCTTCTAAAGAAGCTTCTACCCAATGGGATTTGGTGGCTCACAGCTGTAATCCAGCACTCAGGAGGCTGAGGCAGGAGAATCCCAAATTGCCCTGGGGAAGTGCTCCAGTCTATCTCTGAAAACTGTAACGAATTTTTTTGGTGACAGGAATTGAACTCATAACCTGATGCTTGCCAGGCAGGCGCTTATGCCACTGAGCTAAATTCCTGGCACAAATTTTTGGAAAAAGTTTCCACTAGACTGCAATGACTATAGCACAGACAGCTGCAGTCCTGCACCCTGCTCCCAGCTCGGGATTTTTGATGGCAGAAACTCACAGCCTAGCCCAAACACCAGGCCTCACCTCCGGTCCAGGTAGTGGACCCTGCAGGTAGTGGGCCCTAGGGTAGACTCACCAGGCAGAGGAATCTAGTCCACTGGAATAGGAGTTCTGCACCCAACACCTGTGGTAATTTTAGAGCCTGTGAAAATGGGCCTTACGTTCTTTTAAAATAAGTAGAAAAATGTGTACTTTTAGGTTTTAAAGTTTTATTCTATCTTATTAATAGAGCTGTCTTTATTATCAAGACAGTCAAAAAGTAAGGCGCAAGCCAGGTGTGGTACCACACACCTGTCAGCATTCGGGAGGCTGAGGCAGGAGGATCGCTGTGAGTTCAACCAGTCTGGGCTACGTAGCTAGACTCTGTCTCAAAAACCCCCAAAAAAGTTAGATGCGTTAACACCTTTGTGGAGGAAGAGGCCCAGGAAGGCCAAGGTCCCCAGGACCCTCTAGGTCACCCCAGACCCGCACCCTTCCTCCCTGCTGCCGCAGGAGCTCCAGAGCTTCCGGGCCGACGGCCCTGGCGAGGTCAGTGTGGAAATGGACGCGGCCCCGGGCGTGGACCTCACCAGGCTGCTGAACGCTATGAGGGCGCAGTACGAAGCGGTTGCGGAGCAGAACCGCAAAGATGCAGAGGCCTGGTTCTTGGAGAAGGTAGCCGCGGAAAGTGAAGGGAGGGCTGGGCGACCATGGTAGCCGGGCCACGTGCTGAGCGCTCGCCCCTTCGCCTCCCCTGCGTCCTGCAGAGCGGGGAGCTCCGCAAGGAGATCAGCACCAACACCGAGCAGCTGCAGTCCGGCCGGAGCGAGGTCACCGACCTGCGACGCGCGCTGCAGGGCCTGGAGATCGAGCTGCAGTCCCAGCTCGCCGTGGTAGGCCGGCGCGTAGGCGCGACTTTGTACCCCAGAGACAGGTTGCGAGGCGCGTCGCCCCATCGGCTGCTTCTTGTTTTCCGTCCCCTCCCGCGTGCAGAAGAAATCCCTGGAGGAGTCGCTGGCGGAGACGGAGCGCGACTACTGCGGCCAGCTGTCCCAGGTGCAGCAGCTCGTGGGCCATCTGGAGGCGCAGCTGCAGCAGGTGCGCGCCGATGCAGAGCGCCAGGGCGCAGAGCACCAGCGGCTGCTGGACGCCAAGGCCCGGCTAGAGCTGGAGATCGACACCTACCGCCGCCTGCTGGACGGGGAGGCCGCGGGGTGAGCGCGGGGAGGCTGCAGACATCTGGCGTGGGGGGTGGCACGGGCAGCCCCCCCACACACACACACGAGGTTAGCAAACCTAACCGCAGACCAAATCTTCCATGCACTGCCGGGCTGTCCCATCTGAGTTGCAGGCAAGGTCTGAAAACAAACTGATCCTGAACCCACTGATCACACTCGGACACAGCCTTCGATCAGGAAATTGGGATTCTTTACTGGGTCCTCGTTTTGAGCTCTGTTCTAATCTGGAGCTCGAACATCAAAGTCTCTTTATTCCCGCTGGGTCCAACCACCTCAGACACTGTCTCCTCCTCGCTTCCTTTACAGTGAGGCTCTGAACGAGAGCTCAGCTCTAACCGAATGCAAATCCCAAGCTCCATCCACCGACTCATCCAAAGGTATGTGCACAAGAAAGTCCTCAAGGAAGTCAGAGTGGCTGTCAGTGAGGGACACCATAAAGTCACGTTGAATAGCAGGGTTTCATTTGTGAGAAGCCAAGGACAGCGCTGGACACCCTTGCGGCATGCAGTGGCTTCTTAATACTTTCAGCAAACCCAGAAGGGAAAAGTCTGCTTTATGAATGGGTGTCCTGCGAACCACATCACTACAAATGTTAAAAATAAACACTGCTTTCACTTGTGCACAAGGCCATATTAAATGCAGTTCATGTTCACAGCACAGGACACTTTTTTTAGAATATAGATGTCACTTTGGGGAGTTTAAGTTTGGTGAATTGTAGCACGGCAAGACCCAGTGTGGAAGCTTCAATATCCAACCACCAATGCTGGAATCACCTTTGAACACTCAGGTCTGCTCCTTTTATTCTGTTTTGATCTTTAGACCCAAGCAAAACCCGAAAAATCAAGACCATCGTGCAGGAGGAGGTGAATGGGAAGGTGGTCTCATCTCAAGTCCAGGAAATTGAAGAACTGATGTAGAAATCTCACCAGATCGGCCCGTGATTTGCTCCTAGGAATGAGAAATTGGCTTGTAGGAATTAACCCTTTCAGAATCACATGCAGTGGTAGTTCAATCTCTGTTTTGCTCGGTTCGGTTTTCTCTAGATTCTCTCTTGCCTTGAGTTCTCTTTGTCTTTCTGAAGCAAGGGTCGGTTACGAGTCAAGGTGACCATGTTGATCTCCATAACAAGCCCAAAGCACCTGACCTCCTCCGGGACCTGAAGTGGACTCCTACCGAACCCTCTTTGGGGGATATGAACCTGTTTTTTTTCTTGATTACAGATCTTTGATGAAGTAGTATTAGTAGTGCTAATTTTAATAAAAGCTGAATGGTAACAATACCAGGTGTGAGTGTTCTTGGTTGCATGTCTGGAGCATGGAGAAAGATTTCTATGATATTCAGTAATAAAATAGATAAACACTGCAGGGGGATTAGGCCTGGAGACCATGTTAAGAAGGTTCTTTGGGAAGTCCTGATCTGTTTCCCTCAACTCTGTAGGGTTAAGAAAGGAGGGGACCCAGCCCCAGGGGCGGCCTCAGGCCTGTTCATTTGGCATCACCCTCTGTCAGGAAGGTGGGGAACACCTGCCCGGCCCCAGACCCCAGACAGAGTGAGCAGGGAGGAGTGGACTTCGTTCTACCGGGCTCACGGCTGAGGGCAGAGGGCGACTCCGGCCAGGGAGAGAACAGGAGGAGGAGGAAGAGGAGGGGGAAACTGGAAAGGGAGAGGCTGTCTCCCCTCCTTCCCGGGGGCGCTTCCAGCAGAGTTGAATCCAATCCCCAAGCCAGGAATAGAAGTCGGATTCTGCCGAGGTCTAAGCCTTGGCAGCGCGAAGATGGGGGCCTGGCATGCATAAGGCTGTGAGTTCAATTCGTGGTACCACCCCCAAAAAAGAGCCTGAGTTCTAAAGCAAACTCTGAGTTCGAATGCTGACTGCTACTTTAGAAGTAGCACCTTGGCTGGCAGGCAGGGTTCCCTACGGTTCAGTGACATCAGACATGGGAACTGCTGGGAACCCAAGACGCGCTGGGCCTGGGGGTGCTCAGGGTTCTGTCCTCTTACTGTTTACTGAATGGAACCAGAGGGGATGGAAAACCCCCAGAAAAGACATCGGAGGGGCAGAGGGAGCACTGGGCCCAAGGAAGCTGGGCTGAGCCCGACCGCATCAGTGAGCCGCTTTGAAGCCTCCACTCTGTTTGCAGCAGTTTCAGGTCCCCCACTCCCCCTCACTGTCACCCTCCCCGCCTCTCCATCTGGCTTGCACCTTGCGGACTCGAGGAAAAGGCCAGAGAAGCTTCCTGAAGCAGACACGGAAGAGGCCGCTTCCCCGCACCCGCAAATAGGTGCTGTCTTGAGTGGTGCAGTGTTCGGTGGTCGCCGTCCCCAGTGGTGCAGGGCTCCGAGGCAGCAATTAGCCAGGGTCCTTTCTCTACCACCTCGGGGGGCTCCCTGCCCTGCTTTCAGAGCTCCCACCCCAACATGGGGCTCCCCAGGACACAGCTCCCACTGCAAGTTTCCCCATACTTTTCCCCTCCATGACCCCTGTGTGGTGACTGCGTCTTTGCACCTCTCCTGTGCTGGCTCCCGGGTGCCCTCAGCCCACCCAGCGCTGCCCAGGACTCCCACACTGTGTTTGTAGCCATGGCCCCAGCAGGTGGCGGAGGAAGGGACAAGGGGTGACTGCCAAAGTCAGAGCCACAAGCATCTCAACTGTGCTTGGGCCTTAGGGTCCCCTCTGGGTGGAAAGCTAGGCAAAAAAGAAAAATAAAACTGACTTCACAGAATTCCCCTGGGGCACCAGTGCTAGGATTTCACAGAATATGGCCTGGAGCTCACTTTGTAGCCCAGGCTGGTCTCGAACTCGAAAGGATCCTCCTGCCTCAGCCTCCTGAGAGCTGGGATTACAGGTGTGCACCCACGCCTGGCATGGTAGGAATATTTTACAGACCTCACCTGGCAAAGGATGCTAAACCCAGCTTGCTCTGTTCTCCCGCCAGGAGGCCCAGCACCCACCTCACGATCTGGCTTGCTCTGTGGGCCGCTATAACCAAACGCCTTAGACTGGAGGCTGTGAATGCAGCCGTGTGTTCCACACAGTTCTGAGGGCACTGGGGTGTGGGAGAGGCCACACCCCAGCTCACAGACAGTGGCATCCCGCTGCAGCCATGCGTGGTCACAAAGTTGGTTCAACACAAGCACCAAGGGCCCACAGGACCCGCAAGGAGGGAAGTGCAGAAGTGAAGGACCTGGCTTTACAGAAAACAACTCCCAAGGAAGAAAGAAGGAAGGAAGGAAAGAAAGAAAGAAAGAAAGAAAGAAAGAAAGAAAGAAAGAAAGAAAGAATAAAGGAGCAGGAGGGAAGCGCAGTGCTGATGATTATTTTAAAATTCTGAAAGTTTACCCATTTAAATTTTTATTTTGCAATTGTATGCATAAGCTAAAGAAAAGTTTGGAAAATATAGTATTTCCTTAATATTATACTCACACCATCATGGAAACTCACGAGGGGTTTGAAGGATGTTTTATTTTTATTTTTATCTGTTTATTATTTTGTATTTTGTTTTACTTTGTTTGCCATGCTGAGGATGAGACCCAAGGAACCCAGAGCTACATCCGAGCCTTTTATTTACTTTTATTTAGTTCAGAGACAGGATTTTGCTGAACTGCCCATACCAACCTGCAACTCCAATCCTGCTTCAGCCTCCCCAGTAGCTGGGATTACAGGAGTGGGAAACCATGCCTGGAGCCGTTTTGTACATTTTCTAAAACTATTTAAGAAACAGCATGCATGACTCTGATAACGAGGTAACGATTTTAGTTACCCAAATACAGATGTATTTGTCAGTAAACCTCAGCAGGAAAGAAACCGCCCAGAAAAACAACTACAAAGCCAAGGCTCCTCTCTTAGAACGCTGTACAAGAGTGCCACCTGCTGCCGGCCCAGAAAAGGACGTTCGAAAAAACCGAATTCAACTCACCTCAGGTGAGCTCAATATCAAGAGTTGATTTACACAGAAGGGGAAACACGGCTTTAAAAAAAAAAAAAAAAAAAATCATCTACTTAATAAGATAGAACTGTTTAGTTTAGCTAATTCTCCTCCAGAAAGTTTTATAAGCTATAAAGTGAAGAAATTAGCACTTATTTAGTTTAAACAACCAAAGAGCCGATCTGAACCCTTCAGGTTCTAAACCAAACACTCAAATATCAAATTAAAATGAAAAATATACTCATATGGGGGGGGGAGTGAATCACTTTTTCTGGAGTAATATATGCTTTTTTTTTTTTTGAAACAGGGTCTCAGGCTGGCTTGAAACTCAAGGCAATCCTCCTGCCTCAGCCTCCAAAGTGCTGGGATTACACGTATACAGTACCATTCCTGGAACTGGGTTGCAAGATTAAAGAAGCTTTTATGCTAGACACGCACCTATAATCTCAGAACTCAGGAAGCCAAGGCAGGAGAATCTGTGTGAGTTCAAGGCCAGCCTGGGCTACATAAGTGAATTCAAAACAAGCCTGAACCACTTAAAACCAAAAACAAACAAACAAGAAAAGCAACCAAATCTAAGATTAAATGTCATCGCTCCACCTTTGGGTCATAAATTCAAAGTCAAACTACAAAAGTGAGTGTTTCTCACGCCCTCGTCATCACTACAACACGTGAAAAAGGCTACGATTGTGACATCCAGGGGTGCGGCGACCCACGGGTGTATGATGCCCAGAATTCTGGATGAACAGCAATCACCAGAAGAATAAACGAATGATGGAAAACCAAAAAACTGGAATGCAACCCGCCGATGGGTGGGGTGGGGCTGGTACACCAGCCCTGTGGGCGGCCAGACATACTGTGCTCCTGAACCCCCAGGTGCTCGGGAGGCTGAGACAGAGGATCCCTTGAGCCAAGAGTTTGAAGCCTGAGTGACAGAGTGAGACCTATCTCTTTAAAAAAATAAAATAAAACAAAATGATGTTTTTAAACATGGGATAAATTTCAAAAGCATTACTCTGAGCTACGGAAACCAGACCCAAAAGACCATGTGGTGCACAATTCCATTTGTAAGCTCGCTCGGGCCAGAAAGCAGACCAGTGGTCCCCTGGGCTGCCGGAGTGGAGAGGGAGGCTCAGCCAGTCCCCTGCGGGGAGGGGATGCAGGACAGTCAGGGGTGGAAGAAGCCTTGTGGATCTTGGTCATGGGGCTGGTGACCTGGCCGTGTCCCTCTATGGGCCAGACCTCAGGACAAAAACTAATGCTCCCACATCCTAAGGACTGATGTTCTAAATAGCTCCCTGTCACCCTGAGGAAGTCAGGACTCACCTCCCAACCCCCTAGGGAAGGAAGAGTCACTGCTCTCTAAGAATGCCCACTTCCTAAGGGACTTGCTCCCCAATTCTCCCCAATTTAATCAATTTTACCTAAGACAATCTTACTGGCTAACCATAGTTCTGTCCCACCTTATGCCCATCTGCCTTGGGAGTTTCCAGTTTTCCCCACCTTGGAAAAAGACCCATCTCACCTCAGATTTTACTCTAGAAAAGTCCCTAGAAAAGGCAGAGTCCCTGGCCACCCGCTCAGGACCCCTTTCGTCTTTCTGTCTGTCTGTCTGTCTCTCTTAGACAGAAGCTTTCTTTCTCTCAGTAAATATATTCTGCTCTTAACCTCCGTTGTTCCTAAATTCATTCTTCGATTTTAGAAAACACAAACTCGTATGGGACATAGTAGGTTAGGAGTTTTGTTCCCCTGTATCACTAATGCTAGGGACTTGGTTTTCTTAAATCAGTACCTAAATATGTTGTTAAGTGGCGAATAAGCCCAGGGCTTTACACACACACACGCCGTGGGCAGTGGCGGCAGCCAGGCCGTTTCCATGTTATGTATGGGAAACCCTGAGCACGAGCCCTTCCAGACACAGCTCCTGAGCTCTGGGCTGGCTTAAAACCAAAGCGACAGTGGACTTCAGGTCCTAAAAGACAGAAGTGTTTATGGTTCACAGTGTGTGGTTCACGGTGCCCGAGGCATCCTCAGGGAAGACTTCCCCAAGACCTTTAGCAGACTCTAGCAGCAGATCTGGAATGGAACCCAGTCAGAGTCGGAGGGGAGCAGAGGGCCAGGAGGGGACAGGAACGGCCGCAGGCTTTGCTGCCTGGCTCCCAATTACACTCAGGACTAGTTCTCTGCTTCCAGGGAC